TCCGTCATAATTGGAACAAGTAGAATGGACCAAAGCTAAATTATCACTGGGACAATTGATCGAGCACCTTGTGTGCAAGAAACTTGCTTGCAGATAAACAAGACACCAATATGCATAGCACCCTCCTCGAGTTTAAACAATCTATCACAGAGGACATAGAAGAAGACTTGATGACCATAAAGACTGATTTTACTCTTACCCTTGTCGCAGGCTTCCATTGAAGGGAGATACATTCTTCAAAAACAACATATGCAACTGAATAAGTTTACTTCTCCAAATATCAGTCTTTATTTTGATTTTATTTGTTTCACAGGGGAATCAAAGTTATGGAATTATGGATATCTGAAGGAAAGGAAAGGGAAAATTAGTTGGCAATGGTGGAAACTTTTCTCACGTGTAAAAGAAAAGCACCGTTAGATTTTTGACGGTTGTTTGCAAGAGTATCAAAAATGTACCAATTGTTGAAACATGAAGGACTATTAGTGCTCCATGTTAAAACACAAGGATTACTTTGATCCTTTACTCAAACATAAAGGACAATTTTGATCCTTTACTCCATTTGTGGAACCAAACATGATTTTGATTTTTTTAGGATTGAGGGAAATTAGGGAAGGATATAAGACTGATCAAGATTTTAATTGTTGCTACATCTTGAGTTCTTTTTTGAATTTTTTATTTGTTTGTTGATAAAGAGTTCTTTTTCTTTATTTCTTTCCTCTATTTTAATAGTAAGTCAGTTATCTGAAACATTCATAATTGGTCATAAGGTGTAAATAAGGTGGAAATATGCTTATTTAGATTGACTTTTAGTTTTTTGATTTATAAGCCAAAAATAATAAGTTAGAAATTTTAATTTATGACTTTCACTTATTTTTATCACGGTAGTTTAAAATCAAGTTCTTCTAAGTACTTTTTAAATTTATCGAAACACTCCAAAAGTGCTTAAAAGTTATTTTAGCATAAAAATACTTAAAATAAGTCAATTCAAATAGTTATTATTTCCATCACTAATACCCATTTTTATGTGATTTTCATATAAAACAACTAATAATGTATGGTTATTTATCATAAAAGTTTTAATTAAAGATGAACGTAATACAAACAAATTATAATATATATATAAATATATATTAGAGATACATATCATATGTATGCATTCAAAGAAAAGAATAGCTAAAAAAAAGGCTCAATTTATCAACATACGGTACCATGATAAACCGCAATAGTATTCATTAGATCTTATAATTAGTGTACTCCTCTAATGTCCATCTCCTTATCAAAGAGAGAAGTTACATGAAAATAAATTAAAAAATGAAAATAATATCAAGCCAGAAATGAGAAAAAAAACACAAAGATAACATACTAGTTAATTTACATAGGAACTTTATAACCTTTTGCAAACTTTGAGTGAAATAGATACAAAAACTTTTCCATCACTTAATTGGCATATTTGGCATATTTGATTCCCCAAATGCATTACCATTCTGATTTTCCTACTCAAGAAATCTTTTTTCTTTAACTCATTATATATATAGGTCGTTTGTAACCTTTTTTTTATTTCAATTTTTAGACAAGAAGTTAGAAAAAGAATAGTAAGAAAAGTTCATAAAGGAGAAAAAATATAGATAATTTTCTAGGTCATAGAGAGGCGTCTCATCACCTTGTCTATATTTAATTTATTTATTATTATTATAGATGTTTTTAGTTAGATTTATATTGTATATAGATTTTTGTAATAAATTAAGGCAATTACTTTTATAATAAAAGAATTGACTTAAATAAGCCAAAAAAACCTTTTAAATAAATTAAATAATAAAGATAAAAATATTATAAATATTAATTTTTTTTTGTTATTTTGTAATTAGAAGAAATTCAAAACCAACAATATACTTTATTAGTATTGCATAGAAATCTAAGTGGGGCATTGATCACACTCTTTATCTCACCTGTTGCATTCTTAGTTTGGCAAATGTTAGAGTAGGTGAAAGCTGGAAGAATATATGTCATATGTGTAATGCTTCATTGACTTAAAAATTTGTGGTCTTTTTGTAATCGAGCGAGATGATATGCTGAAATGGGTGCTAAATATATATATATATATATATATATATATATTTTATTTTATTTTTATTTTTTTAAATTTTTTTTTTTTTTTGTTAAAAAAAAAAAAAATTTAAAAAAAAATAAAAAATAAAATAAAATATATATATATATATTATTTTATTTTATTTTTTATTTTTTTTAAAATTTTTTTTTTTTTTTTGTTAAAAAAAAAAAAAAAATTTTAAAAAAAATAAAAAATAAAATAAAATAATATATATATATATATTTTATTTTATTTTTATTTTTTTAAATTTTTTTTTTTTTTAACAAAAAAAAAAAAAAAATTTAAAAAAATAAAAATAAAATAAAATATATATATATATATATATTATTTTATTTTATTTTTTATTTTTGTTTAAATTTTTTTTTTTTTTTGTTAAAAAAAAAAAAAAAAATTTAAAAAAATAAAAATAAAATAAAATAATATATATATATATATATTATTTTATTTTATTTTTTATTTTTGTTTAAATTTTTTTTTTTTTTTAACAAAAAAAAAAAAAAATTTAAACAAAAATAAAAAATAAAATAAAATAATATATATATATATATATATTATTTTATTTTATTTTTTATTTTTGTTTAAATTTTTTTTTTTTTTTATATCAAGAATAGAAACTAAAGAGGTGTGAGTTGTGAACAATTACTCCTTGTAAGCTGGCATGTGAAGAGTGTCAGGATCCAAAATGGATCATGAATGACAGTCATACTTAACCTTCTAGGTGGACGAACCAATGAATGCAAATCCCAACTTATATTAGTCGTTTAACTTACGAAATACAATAATAATACAAAAACCCAAATCTTATTAAAGTAAAAAGTAAGAATCCACTAGAGTCTATTACATATCATTTTTCAAAACCTAAATGTCATCACATCAGAGACATCTAATCCTCAAATACAAACTATGAGAGTATTAAAGACACCATAATAGATAAATAGCATAGTTTGTGTCCGAAAACTAAGGACATCATGCTATGACCGAGAGAATCTAACACGAGCTAGAAGAAATAACTCACCCTGAAATCTAATGTGCCGGAGACTAGCTAGGGTTGAGGGCGAATCAAACTTGCTTACACTCGTGTCATTCCACAAAAGGAAAACAGAAATAATACAAGTAGGAAGTCAGTACATGACAACATAGACTAATACGTCGATGCCAATTAATATGTTTAAGTCTCATATTTTCTAAATCTCAAGCCTAGGATGAAGTCTCAATTATTTCTTCATATAACATAAATCTAATGATATTCATACAATATATACAATACACTTAATATGTCTAAACTTAAATCATAATATGATGATGACTATAAAAAAAGAGCCAAAATCAAAGCTAAGTTAACCATGAGAAAGTGCAGAATCCCACGAAAAAAAAGAGTGCAAAATCTATCAATTTACAATTTATCCATCATCATCCAATCATTAGCTTATTATTGCCCTAATCGTTATGCCAGTATTACTTGACAACCCTTATTACTTATCAAAATTGTCCCAAAGCCTTTTGTCCATACAACCATTCTCAATTCAAATCCCACTATTTTTAGTAGTATCTAATAGTGCACAGTAAATCATAGATATCAACATTTAGGCCGAAGGTTGGAATTTGTTAAATATAAGAAAATTAATTTTACCTACGTTGTGTTCCTTTTTCGATACCGCACTTGGTTTATCTTCTCGCTCAAAATATTCTCTCTAAACTAATAATGAACTCAGAAGTTAAATCTCATTATTTTATGACATAATACATAAACATAACCCTTAACTTGGCTTCAACGGACAACTATACGCTCCAACTTTGAGTATGCACTTAAACTTGTATAAAATTAAATAAGTAGACACACGTGTCCTACATGGCATAATACATGTAGAACGCCACGTAGGACACAAAATTTCCATGTAGGACGGATGTGTCTATTTGTTCAATTATATACAAGTTCAAGTGTCTACTTGTGCACATCCAAAGTTAAAGGTCATAGTTGTCAACTGACGCCAAGTTAAGGGTCATGTTTATGTATTATGTCTTATTTTATTTTACACATATGCCAAGTGATATAAGGTAATAAATAAACGGGGAAATTACATGGTTAAGCAAACATACACTAGTTAATTAGTCATTATAACTATAATTTTTGTTTATTACCACTCACGACCAACATTCTGTGATAGTTACGTGGGTTGAGGTTTCAATTTTGTATAATTCATACGTTTGTATAATATAATTTGTATAAAATTTTATAATGTAATTTTGTATAATATAATTGTAGAATTGTTTAAAGTTTAGATGTTTGTGTTTGTATAAATTTGTTATTTCGAGTTTATACAAAAATAGCTCAATTTTACAAACGTACCCGCAAATTATACAAACTCACCCGTGAATTATACAAAACCGTGAATTATAAATATGAGAGTACAATTTAAACTGTAGCTACAACTCGTAAATATGCAAATTATAGTTATGGAGCATAATTAAGTTTATCATAGTGGTTGTTTGCGAAAACCCCCCCGTAACTTTCAGATTTGACCCATTAATTGTCAACTAAAAAGACAAATACATGTTAACTTAATAAACTTAGTTAAATGAATAGTTCAAAATTCTCATTTAAAATTTACGAGAAGGTTCTTTTATGAAAGAAATAGGTCTATTGCCCAAAACGACCTAACAGATCTTTACAAAGAGTCTTTATTGTAAATGTTTCTCTATTAATATAATATTTAATTATTTGTAATAAATTAAATCTTTTTCAATACAATAATTAATTTAAATAAGAAAGAAAAGCCAAAAAAAATAATAGAAATAGATGTAGAAAGATGCCACGTCACATTGTCTATGATTCACTATAGATGTAGATTGGTCCAAATTAAAAGTCACGCTTGACAGGAAAGCCTGATCAAACAAGTAGCTTTCACATAACGTAGCCATCTTCAACTCTCCTTCTTCCTTGGAGAGTTTCTATAATTCCTTGTTCATTTTCCTCTGCCTTTAAAACAATAAACGGCGAAAAAATGGCGTTTTCAGATATAGAATCTTTAATCCCAAGTTATCTTTACAGTACAACATCAGTTAATTCTTCAAAGAATTTCAGTACTACTTTGGACAATCATCATGGCAATATGGATCAGAAGAATTTCTTGATTGCAGCACCAAAGGAGGGTTCAGGTTATAAGGTAGAAATGTACACACCGGCGTTTTACGCAGCCAGCACGATCGGGGGCAGTCTAAGCTGTTGTCTTACACACACTGCTGTTACCCCTCTTGATCTTATCAAGTGCAACATGCAGGTATACATATATTAGGGATACTATAGTCTATAGCAGAGGATACATTTTACTATTTTCTAACTTTTTGAGTATTACTAATTAACCTTGGCGCTTAATATGTCACGTGACCTACAACAACAAATAGAAGTGCTAAATGCTAGGTAATTTGTTATTACCACTTGAATCGCAAAGTTAGTGTCGATTTATTTTTTATTACTGTGGTTGTACATAACTTCAACTCTTAAATTATAATTAAAGATAACGATCATGAAAAGACGATGCTTAGACTTGCATAAAATTGTTCATTTTAGACTGGATTTTGTGTGTTTCTTTTAATCCAACCATAATCAATCAATCCTCTACTAATTTTAAAAAGCTAGAATCTTTCTATTGACTGATGTTTCACGTATGCGCTTTCTGCTCTTCCACTCTGTTCTTTGTTAGCTGATTTGAAATCCGAAAGAGAAAATCAAAATGAACAAAAAAAAAACGTCAAATTTCCAGAATAGATTGGATTAGTGATGGATTTAATGTTTTCATGATTGAAATGTTTGATTTATCAGATTGATCCTGCAAAGTTCAAGAGTATTTCCTCTGGTTTCGGAATTTTACTTAAGGAGCAAGGCATTAGAGGATTATTTAGGGGTTGGGCACCTACTTTCCTTGGTTACAGTGCACAAGGAGCATGCAAATACGGATTCTATGAATATTTCAAGAAGTACTACTCAGATCTTGCTGGCGCGGAGAATGCTGTCAAATACAAAACTTTGATTTACCTTGCTGGTTCTTCTTCTGCTGAAGTTATTGCTGATGTTGCTCTCTGCCCATTTGAGGCTGTCAAAGTTCGTGTTCAAACTCAGCCCGGATTTGCTAGAGGCTTGTCTGATGGACTTCCCAAATTTGTCAAGGTTGAAGGAGCTGCAGGGTAATGCCTAGTTTATGTTGAACAAATTTGTTGTTGTTAATGTGAGGGGTTTTCTTATGTGCTGACGAAAATTTGGAATTTGAATTTTTATGTTACAGGCTTTACAAGGGGATTGTACCTCTATGGGGACGACAAATTCCATGTAAGCTTACATATTTCCTCTGATTTTTCATTTGGATACTCTGTTTTACTACTAAACTTGGAAATCTTTCTAAAGGTATCATTCAAATTTTGTACTTCCTCAGTTTCATTTTACATGACAGTATTTATTAGTTCTCGAAGAATTTGTGCTCATAAACATATCATGATTCATGACATTTTTATGGCTAGAAAATCATGTCATAAAGTGTTAAATGAGAAGTTCAGCGTTAAAGTTTTTTCCAAATATGTAAAAGTTTCATTCTTTTTTGGAACAAACTAAATAGGAGTGTCACATAATGAGTGTAACTTTTATTCACCGAACTGCTTGAGATCTGTTTAATTACTCTTTCTTGATTGTTATTGCTGTGGAAAAATGAACACTGGCTAGATTGACTGAATTTCACTTTGGTTACTTTACAGACACCATGATGAAGTTTGCATCGTTTGAAACCATAGTGGAACAACTCTATAAACATGCCATTCCAACACCAAAAGACCAATGCAGCAATACTACACAGCTTGGTGTGAGTTTTGCTGGTGGATATTTGGCTGGTATTCTTTGTGCTGTTGTGTCACACCCTGCTGATAACCTAGTTTCTTTCCTCAACAATGCCAAGGGGGCAACTGTTGGCGATGTGAGTAAACATTGAACTGTGTCCTCTGTTCTAATATTCGGTTTCATTCTTAAGTCTGAACAATGGATTTGTTCATTTTTTGCCCTTTTTGTAGGCTGTGAATAAGCTAGGAGTATGGGGTCTCTGTACTCGTGGTCTTCCCCTTCGTATATTCATGATTGGAACACTCACTGGAGCTCAATGGGGAATCTATGATTCTTTCAAAGTTTTTGTTGGCCTGTAAGTGTCTTCTTCTTTAGCTTTTATTTGCCATCAAGCAAGCAACAGATACTCTTGTAGTATACTTAAAATATCTTGAACTGGTGCTTATGTACTTCACTTTGCAGGCCAACCACCGGTGGTGCTCCTCCTCCAGCTCAGAAATGAAGAACACATTGATGATTGCACGTAAGAGATAGAAGGGAACTGGAAATTCTTTCAATTCAAAGTTTTGACGTTTGATATATGGTAGTATTAGTTTTAGAGGATGTATCATCCTCAGCATTATTGGGTTTCAAGTATTACTTTGTCTGTAAATTCACGTTTTCTGGATTTACAATAATATGTCAAATTCATAATGAGAGCATGTTGCTTCTCCACTTTATGGTTCTCATGTTATGAGAGAATATTTCTTTTCTCAATTCAATATAAAATTTGTAACAAACACCAGCAAATACATGATGACAGTATACACAATATTTTATCAAAGCTAATAGTACAACTGTTTTTATTGGAACTGCTACTACATTCTATTGGAAAATACACGAGACTACAGCGCTAATAAAATTTAGGTATCATCGTCGCCAGTATTTAATGGATATATGGTATCGAAGACTATCCTGGCAAAGACATGTCGGACTTCCTGTAGGCTACCTGAAGCTAACAACTCATAGTCTATCTTGCTACCTTGCTTGGCTACAAATCCCTTCTCCCTTCCCATTCTAACGCATTGGCAAACCTTGCACGCCTTTAAATACAGTGCTAATGGAATAAATACCTGCAAAAGGATGAACAAGAAAGCGATTAACCTGCCTCTTTCTTTGGCACATGAGTATCAACTTTCTTTTGACCTATGCCACAGTATGACAATATAAAACGAGAATGAAACCAAAGGCCAAATGACCAAGAGAGGAAAGAAAGGATTTGTCACGAAGAATAGCAAGAACCAAAAATGAAAGAATACAAGGGAAATCAGCTTACTAGGTCTGAGTACGGTGCTTTAGGGTAGTTGGCCATTGCTCGTGAGACACTATACTCATCTGTCATATTAGTCAGTGCCCTTTGAACTGAAGTTGCCAGTTCCACAACTTCCTCTTTTAAAGCTGCCAAGTTCAGATCCCGTGACTCCAACTCATGAAAGCTTCCATCATGTTGTGCAGAAATCCGTTTGGCTATACTTAAAGCTTCTGACAAATCACCTCCATTATGAACACCGAGGCCAAATGCAGCAACCACCAAAGGGTCCCTTGGTTGATCTGAGAGTGCTTTATGGAAAGCCAAAATTGTGACCCTAGAACATATAGAATTCAGATAAGCTTGGCTAATTGATCAAACAAGGAAAATAGCTTCCTAGAAATTTGCATCTACATTTTGGGAACAAACTGAGAAAATTGTGTTCTTAAACCTTTTTTGACATGTTAACAGAAGACAAGTCAGTTACACTTGAGCTAATGCATGAAACATACACCCTTCACATTCTTTTAAAATTATTAATTCTTTGGTGAGTAATCATGAATGACAGAATATATGCAACACATCTAGACTAGGTAGACTTCAATTGCAATAATGCAGACTGCAGCTCCAATCAATTGAAATTTATAGGTATATAAGATGTCAGCTCCAAACATACAACAGAATCTGTCATTATGAGACCATGAAATGCGCCAAATTTCTCTTGTAATAGAATTGTTCACCTGCATGTTTCCATTTACAACGACATCAACTATGCCTTAAACCAAAGTTGGGTGCAGCTATATGAATCCTCACTAACCATGTTTCTCCATTTAAATTTATCTCAGGCCAACATATAAAGTAAATGAAAAATAAAAAAAATACTAGAAGTTCTCTCTATTTTCTATTGGCATAAGAATCTCTTAAAAGGCTAAATGACTCCTGGAAAGCAGGACTTAAAGTAAACGTACTAACATGACTAAAACATATTGACAAAAAATTATCTGTACTTGCATGTTTTCAGTACTTGCTAATAAGATTATTCACTTGCATTTATCTGACTCAGAGATCTATTGAAAGTATTACACTGGGAACCAGAGGAAAAGTCATTCTATCATATGTGGAACATTTGCACACCTGGACCTGTAATAAGCCCAAGTCAAACTGACTGAGAACGCACAAGAGATATATCTGCTCTTTAAATCAGCTGAGAACTTGTCAATTTACATTTTACTTTCTTTTTTTTCTTCTAAATAGAGCATTCACTTCTGTCAAAGTTACTATCTAGGGGTACATAGATTCTTTTGAGGCTGTCAACATATTACAATCTTACATACATACAAACATATTTGATTTTTCCTTGAATTTCCCATTTTTATAAGGCATTTTCAACAGTCCGTTATACACATATATGTATGAATTTTGCTGTTTGATTTCCCTTTTCTATCTAGTATCTTCAACAGTTCTTTAACCATCTTTTTAGAGGAAAGGTTCTGGTCCCTGATGCAGAAGAATTATCAAGCGGAAGTAGGAATAATACAGCACAATCCAGTGAATATCCCATGACATTGAAATTGAAACTGATTCATAGAATGACTTACAAAACCATCTTACTTGCCCAGCCTGTTTAGAGAATCTTACCATAAGCTACTGTGGCATGGCCTATCGGGGGCCACTAATTTATCGAGGTTGGAAAATAAAGACTGCAAAGAAAAGCAGAAACAAGTTAATCATAATAGTTTTGACTTCTCACTCATCAAACCAAAACCAACATAACATAGGTTCAAGAAATGAGCTATGCAAAATTGCTGACATGTCAAAACTTGCATGTGGAAACTAAAGGAGGAAAGATATTATTTTCATGGTGATAAAATAGTCCATCAACAAAAAGATGAGGAACCAGAACAAATCTGCATCTGGATGTTGGTAATAGATTGTTTGCACAAATAGGATGTCAGGGAAACCATGATTCTCTTCATTGTGTAGTATAGGCCATCTAATGTAAAAGAGAAGTATAAAATAAGCAGGATGACATGTATACTAAGAACACACATGCACCTCATTTGGTATTATTTTCTTAGGAAATAACAAAACAATGTTATCTTTATGGCACATTTTGTGAAACAACTCAACCATGAAAAACTCTTTGCTAAATATATTAAAGTTGTTGCTTCTTCACTCAGTTCTGATCTTAAACTTGCTATTTGCATTTACAAGAGCTTTGATTGTCATATGAGATCTACAACCTTATGATTAACCATTAGATCAACACCAAGTTAATAGCAAACCGACAAAAAAACGATAGTTGTTTCTTCTCTCTCCTTTTGGCTTTATACGAGAATTTGATTATCTCATCATTAAATTAACAATGAATGAACTTATGGTCCAAAGTCTACCACATCAAGGCATTACCCACATTTAAAGCCACAAATGCAGTTAAATAAATCAGTTATGACTGAGCAAAATAATTTAAAAACCACCGTGGTTTCCATCATCTAAAGGCCAATAGGTACTACTTTTTTAAGGGGAGAAAATTTTCGCCCCTAAAGTACCTTACAGAGGGCAGGAGTCTATGGTGGACGCAAAAAGAAGAAAACAAACATCTTGCATCAGAGCAAGATTTCTACAAAAAAAATTACCAAAAGCAAGTTAGACCTCTTATCACGTCTTCTAAAACCATGGCGGACGAAATATGCAGCCTGCAAATTGAGCTATATTAGAAATGTAATTTAAATGACCATAGGGTGAAACAGAATTCAGAATATATTAACCTGAATTGGTAGAAGTATATCCAGAAGACCAAATTTCCACAATAATCTCAGTGAAGCCTCAGCAGAGCCATAGGCCAACATGTAATTCATTTCCATGAGGAGCCTTCCCTGAAAAAGCCGAGTGAAACATTTGAAATAGTTTTAGTGCTTTGACCTATCAAAAAATAGCTCTAGTGCTTTCTTGTTACTTAACCAACATAAATATACATACACACACACACACACATAGAGACAGAGAGAAATAGATGTTCTCCATGTACCCTATCAAGCCTCAGGACTGAAGATGATAAATTTTTAATAGAAAGAGCTGTCTCCCTTCCAAATCGAAATCCTAGTCTGGCAGCAATTCTAATTGCACGAAGGATTCGAGCTGCAAAGGTAAAAATATATTCATGTTACACAACAAATATAAGATAGAAGATCACAATAGAGCAAAGAAGTTGATTTAGAAGAAAAGAAAAAGTGTTGTCAATTCGAGCACTCTTGTGTATAGCTATATAGAGAGAGAACAATTAAACAAAAAGCCAATAGAGGCCCAAATAGATATAGAGGACTTAACTGATTATCATTTTAAGAGTCGAACTTCATTTAAGGAAACAGAAAATGAAAGGGAACTCACCACAATCCTCTATAAATGAGAAACTAGCAGGACCGATTGTTTGTACCTGTAGCACAAGTGATCAAATCAAATGTGGTGGAATAGAGAGGATTATGGTAACAAACTAACAATTACACCTCATTAAAGATAATATGCACACTTTAGCTTTCCTGATATCATCCACTCCTCCCATGTAATCATAGATGAGTTTTGAATAAGGGTCAAACATCAACCTGAGCAAAACCAAAGAGGATATTTTTAACATGAGTAGACAATTGTAAATTTCAGAAGTTTTTAGATAAACTTTAGAAGCCTACTGAAATATCTCCAACCCATAAACTACTTATAGGAAACTAAAAAAAAAAAAATCAGTACAGCACAGAATCAATGAATATGGTTGGCCAATCTGGGACATTGATAAACACAAAGTCAAGAAGGAGTTAGGATCAAATATGCAACCCGTTTATTGTAAAATCTCTACGTAAACAATTTCTCCATCGAAAGTGGTCCTTCTCGTCACAGTCAACTGGCTTCTCAAAAGATAAACCCAAGTTCCTCACAGGCCTTATTCCTGAGGTGTGAAAGCTTGAAACCTAATTAATAAACATAAGATGCACCTCATAAGCAAATAATATGAATTTGGAGCACGCAAAATGATCTTTGCACCTATGGTGGGAAAAAATAAGGATCACGGCAAACCTCCACAACTTCATCATCAACATGCACATGGCAGATCGGGAATCGCCTTCCAACTATCTCACAATGTGAAAATGTTCTCCGCACCTGCAATTACAATGATGATGATAATAAGGCCATTCAGATCACATGTATATTTGTATTCAAAATCTTAGTTAGCAAAGAAGAAATTTATGTACACAAAGTACCCAAATCTAGAGAAA